TGCATCCATCCACGGCAGGATTGACCTATGTCCTCTCCATTGTATCAGTTGCCTCACACGCACGATCGGCAAAACCGGCATCATCGTCTCAAACTTGGATCTCCCCGTGCGAGTACGACCTCCCCACTAACGGCGAGTCCAGAACGCATCGCCACCATGGAACAGGGTCCAAGCACGTCACGTACTCACATGCCAACGTCGAAATGAAAAAAAAAATTATCTCCTCCACCAAATCCACCACCTTACTGCCCCATTGGTTAGAGGACGACATCCCCTACCTTCTTCACGTACAGAATGACGTGGCCAAGAAGCTCTCCATTGCATCCGACGCCGATGTCCAGCCTCATTGCCAGCCGCCCATCAACATCTACATCGTAGAATCGGATAGAATGGTTGTGTATGTCCAATGCGAAGTCGAAGCTCCGCACGTGATACCCATTCCACATGTGGCGAAGCTCATACATCATCAATATGTGACCATCGATCATCCCTTGACCGAAAACAACAACGTCTCTCTCTCTCTCTCATGCGTGGAAGTTCAGAATACCTTCCAACAAAATTCACGCACGTGCGAGAAGCATCCCAAACACACCAGCGAAGTCGAACACAAAAAGCGTCGGCTTGCACTCCTACGGTGAAAGAAAGGACAACATTGACGTATATTTGCGACTACTGATGCTCGTCGTGCTGCTATCCTTTTTGTGTTTTTTTTTTTTTTTTTTTTTTTTAATAATCCTCCCCCCCCATTCAACATCACGAACAAGGATGTCGTTGTCACTACACCTCGTCCACGTGCTGACATAGCAGGAGCTGAAGAGGGGCGGCTTACTGAACCGGCGCGCCTCGGCGATTGGATGCCCGCACATAGGTCGTGGACATCCAACAACACGACAAACATGGCTACACAGTGTGTGACACTGTGTGGAGCTGTGTGTGTCATGCTGTTGGATGTCTGTGACCTGTGTGCTGCCATCCAATTGGCGAGGCACACTTGTTTGGGAAGCCGCCCTTCTTCGATATATATATATATATATATATATATATATATATATATATATATATATATATATATATATATCGTCACAAACAGAATATATATATATATGTGTATATATATACAGGGTTACCGGCATTCGAGACGGGCCGAACGCCCGAACCCGAACGCCCGGACGTACGGGACCCCTTCGAAAGGCGTTCGGCCGTTCGGGCCGAACGCGGACCAAAAAAAAAAACAAAAAAAAAAACAAAGTTTTCAACAAATTCCAAAAACAACATATGTTATGAAGAAAAATAAACTAAACAATATTTGCCTGGGCACTACATCCAAATTCTTTACCCAATTTGAATTAAAAATCAGATACAGAAAATAAACAATATGATAAAAATAAGAAAAACTAAAAAGATAATTAAACTGAGTGAGTGTGCCAGCACCTTTTCGACACCGCCATCTTTGCCGATTTTTAATTATTTTTTGGCATTGACAAATGCCCTGAAAATTTACAGATATGTAGTTTACACAATCAGTAACTCATTAAAATGTTTTCAAAAAATAATAATTTTATTTAGGCCCCGAAATAAAGTGAAAACAAAAAGTTAAAAGTGAAAAAAAACAAAATAGTGAGTGGGCGAGCACGTTTTGACACCCCCATCTTTGACGATTATTAATGTTTTTTTGGCTTAGCAGAATTTATAGGCATGTAGGTTACATCATAGAGAACTCACAAAAAAAAATTCAAAAAAAAAAACTTATTTTTAGGCCCCGAATGTGTTTTTGACGGGGGCCAAACCTGGAGGTGTTCGGCCCCTGAACGGGACCCCGAACGCCCGAACGTTCGGGGGCCAGCCCGGGGGCCCCCGAACGTTCGGTCAGGTAACCCTGTATATATATATATATATATGGGTATTTATGAGAATTTATACATAAATATTTATATAACGAGTTATTGGGAAGATGGATCCATCTCGCCAGCCATCCCATCCGCACGGCGGCTGAGACCTCCGACGGACATCTCCAAAACTGTGTTCCCCCCACGCATGGCGTCTATAGCATTACCGATCTTCGCAGCAATGGCATCGCCCACCTCCGTAGTCACCCTCGCCAGCATCGCCACAACCTTATCTTGACCGTCGCAATAAACTCTCGTCTTGTCGACATTGTCGGTGTTCTTAGTGCTGATCCTTCTGCGGTTTTCCCGCCCAAATTCTTAAAAGCCAAGGTGACGTCACACAACATGGATGGCCTGTTCATTTGCCACTGCATGGCATCCCACAAGGGCCGGTCAAAAGCAAGTGGAAGATTGTTCTCCTTCCTCTCCTCCATCGACATATCCCAAATTGAATACGATGGTGCCCGAGACGTGTTGCACGCCTCCAAGATGATCTTCGCCACTAAAAGAATGTTACGCCATTTTTTTCGACAATCCTCGACGCTCCTCGTCTTGAACCCGACATCACTCATGTGGTCATGTACGAACGCCATTTGATCCTTCTTCGACTTGAAACGATGAGGCCCGTTGGCGTCCACCATGAGCGCATTATCCTCCCCCATCAGCATAACTAGCTTCACCCTCTCATCTAATATCCATGGCACACTTAGCCTCTTCTCTTTCGCTTGCGGCTGATTCTGACCACGTCCTCTCCCCCGACCCTCTGTTGGTTGACCTCGCAGAGCCTCACCCTCGTTGGGCATCTTCTCCGCCATGGGGGTGCCACATTCGTCCTCTCTGCCCACATCGTCCACCGATTGATCATTATCGTTCGCCCCTTCCTCAACCCGAACATCATTCTGCAAATCCGATTCTGGTGCCCATCTATGCATTTCACCCCAACCTGCATAGTATCTTGTTCATGGAGGTGAACCCGAACATGTTCGCCCGAACGCGAACTCGCGCCCAAAACCCTCCGAACGCGGGCATAAAAAAATATTCAAGTTAAAAAATAAAAAAACAACAGTCTCAGAAAACTCAGAAAAGAATATATGTCATGTAAAAAGACAATACAAGCAACTTTTGACTTAGAGTCAAGTTCAAATTCTTAGCCAAACGTGAGTTAAAAATAAAAAACTGAAGAAAAAGAAAATTAATTGTATTCAGGGTAAGTCACATACATACAATCCTTATGGGAGACTTGAACTCAGTTCAAGATATTACTTTAGATAGGATTTCCAATGCTAGTGATCGTTCCCAACAGTCAAATAGCCTAGAATTAATTGAATTCATCACAAGAAAAAACTTAGCAGACTCATTCAGACTGTTACACCCTGATAAAAAACAATTCTCATGCATAAGAAAGACAACCAACAATAGAACTTCTTTATCAAGAATAGATTTTTTCCTCGTCTCTGAGTCCTTAATAGGAGTCACTCAAAGCTGCAAAATTGAACCTTCCCCATATCACAAAGGACTGGATCACAAGGTTATTTCCCTATCATTCAGATTCTCTAAAACAAGATATGTAGGCAAAAGCTTCTACCGTTTCAACAACTCCCTCATCACCAGCAAACTATTTCAAACAGAACTATTTAGTATTCTAACCCAATCAGTTCAAAAATAGAAAAGTGAAGACATCTTCTCAAGTTTTCCAAAAATTATCCAAGAAATCAGTCGATAGGTAGCAATAACATCCAGAAAAATGGCCGCCCAAAGGAAAGAAAGAGTAGAAATGCTCAAAGACGCAATAGAAGTGGCTGAAGGCAACCTACAACTAAACACCAACTCCGAATTCTTCTCAGAACTATATTCTAAAGCTAAGCAAGAACTAACAGAATGGACCAAATTAAAACTCCAAGGTCTTCAACTGAGAGCGAGGGTAAAAGATTGGGAAATAAACGAAAAAATGTCCAAATACTTCTTCCAAAAAATAAAAGTCAATTCCATAAATGCAAAAATAGAAAGCCTACTAGACTCTAACGGCACATTAACTTCAGAAACCACCCAACTAATAAATATTGCAGCCACATTCTATAAAAAGCTTTACACTAGCAAAACACCAACTGACAAAAGAAACGACATCACAAGAGCGATAAATAAATTCTTAACCCACGTGGATCGTTCCCTCTAAACCGAAACAACAGAAACACTTGAAAAGTCGATCACTCTATACGAACTTTTTAAGGCTCTTAAAGACATGAAACCCAATAAAGCCCCAGGCAGAGACGGACTGTCTAAGGAATTTTGGCTAGCAAGCCGGCACGTCCTAGGCCCCCTACTCCTAAATTTCCTCAACCAAGCATGGACAAAAGAATCCTTGGGTGCAGACCTAAGTACGGGAGTAGTTACCCTGCTCTACAAAAAAGGGGACAAGAAAGACATCAAAAATTACAGACCCATTTCATTGCTAAACGTAGCTTATAAAATACTTGTCAAACTACTAGCCGCCAGAATTAACCACATCACCGGAGGTTGCTTCCATCTAGACCAGACATGTTTCATCCCAGGCAGACTCATATTAGACAATGTAATGAGCTTAATCGAAGCAACTAGAATAATAAATCAGAAAAAATAACAGCAGTCATCCTATTTTTCAATTTTGAGAAAGCTTATGATAAAGTCAACTTGGACTTCTTACAATCTTGCATGAAAAAAATGGGTGTAGGCCCGAACTTCCGTAAACGGGTTAGAGTATTATACAATAACGCGCAGGGAATTGTTCAAATCAGCGGGTTTCTTTCAAACCCCTATAAAATGTCGAGATCAGTGAGACAAGGTGATCCCTTAGCTGCCCCAATTTTCCTCTTCGTCATGGAAGCGATTGCAGCCTTTTTAAGAAAAGACAACTCGATAGAAAGACTAGATAATATACGTGATGAGAGAGGCAATTTAATACTCTTCCCGACCACACTTCTCTTCGCAGATGATTTAACGGTACTAATAAGGGCCTCAGACTCCTCTTTCCAGGCACTAACTAGAGCCATGCAAGCCTTCCAGCTAGCTTCCGAAATGAAAGTCAACTGGCCAAAAACGGTAGGATGGTGGATCTCTCAGAACCCCCCACCCACAACAAACACCCCAGAAGGCTTCCACTGGACAGACCCTGCAACCCCAATCCGCTTCCTAGGAATAAGAATAAGCATGAAAGGTTGTCACCCAATAACAGCACCTACACTACTTACTGCAATGATCAACAAAATGCACAGATGGCAAGGATCACACACATCACTCCTAGGCAGGGTACTAGCACTCAACAACTCAATCCTCTCCATGATGTGGTACACCACTTCCATTTGGTTTCCAACAACAAACTTTCAACAGAAAATAAGAAGAAGGTCAGCAGCTTATCTGTGGACTGGCAATCCACACTTTATCCACAAAGTAGCATGGTCAATAGTAACACTACCGAAGTCAAAAGGAGGCCTGGGCCTCCTGGACCCAACCCCACAAATACAGGCCCTACAAATTAAATGGATATTGAGACTCACCTTACATAGCAACCTTCGATGGGCACCATTGGCCCTCAACCACATCAGGCAATTAGCTCCATATAACTCCCCCACTAATATGTCGGGCCTCTTCTGGTTATTTAATAACAAATGGTCTCTCCCAAGAGACAAAAAGACTCAACACCAACAACTAGACCAAACAGAAGACACACCCGACGAACAGTCCAAATCCCTGTGGGAACAGCTAATACGCACTTGGCGAAAAATTTTCCCGGAGCACAAACTGGGCCCCAAAAGAAGAGACGAAGTCCTTAGATAGCCTTTATTCGGCAACCCATGGATCACTAAATCAGATGCCAAAGGGGAACTGGCAAATTCAACACTTATGGAACGAAACAGACAATACCTGGAAAACAGAAAAAGAGCTAAGACTGACTCTCAAGGGAAACCATAACCTACAAGCCAATCTCTCACACATCATCGAATTTATACCAATGGAATGGAGAAGACTATTAAGAAGAGATAAAAAATGGCAGACAGGTGGCTGGGCTGCACCGAAGAATCAGACAAACACACAAGAAGTTCTAAAGATCTTAAGCAACGAAATACAAAACAACGAATGGATTAGCTGTAGCATATTCCCCTTGAAAGAACCAGGAAACCCAGTAAGCTTCCTAACCGACAAAAGTAGGGTAGAGGCATATTACAAAATCAACAACCTTAGGAGAATCAGAGTCCTAGAAGGAGAAACGAACAGAGTTTACAACCCCGAGTTAGAAATCAAACAACTAGAAGTAGACCCAACAGAATGGTCTTGGAACATCCCTAACAGCATCTCAAGAACAACAAGAAAATATAAATTAACAGACTACACTGCCAAGCTAGGTTATAAGCTATTTTCCACGTCCATTTTGACCACTTCAATAGTACAAAAAAGATGGCAAAAAGATGAAAGTTCTCTCGCAACATTATCCATCAAACTCTCTTGGGCCACAATCTTCAGCACAAAACCAGTCAAACTGGCTAGTCTACTATGGCTCATTACTTTCA